GTCCCATTTCCCCCCTTCACTCCCTTCCACCCTGTACACCATTCTCCCACCCACACCCCCTCTTCAGTTCATGTCCATGTGTCATACTTGTAAGTTCTTTAGCTTCTACATTTCCCATACTATTCTCATCCTCCCCCTATCTATTGTCAACCTACAATCTATGCTACTTATTCTCTGTACCTTTTCCCCCTTTCTCCTCCTTCCACTCCCCTCTTGCTAACCCTCCATGTGATCTCCATTTCTGTGGTTCTTTCTGTTCCTGTTCTAGTTGTTTGCTTAGTTTCTTTTGGTTTTGCTTTAGGTGTGGTTGTTAATAATTTTGAGTTTGCTGTCCTTTTACTATACATGTTTTTTTTTTAATCTTCTTTTCTTAAATAAGTCCCTTTAACATTTCATAAAATAAGAGCTTGGTGATGATGAACTCCTTTAGCTTGACCTTATCTGAGAAGCACTTTATCTGCCTTTCCATTCTAAATGAAAGCTTTGCTGGATAGAGCAATCTTGGATGTAGGTCCTTGCCTTTCATGACTTGGAATACTTCCTTCCAGCCCCTTCTTGCCTGTAAGGTCTCTTTTGAGAAATCAGCTGACAGTCTGATGGGAACTCCTTTGTAGGTTACTGTCCCCTTATCTCTTGCTGTTTCTAGGATTCTCTCCTTCATTTTTACCTTGGCTAATATAATTATGATGTGCCTTGGTGTGTTTCTTCTTGGGTCTAACTTCTTTGGGACTCTCTCTGTTTCCTGGCCTTCCTTGAAGTCTATTTCCCTTGCCAGAATGGGAAAGTTCTCCTTTATTATTTGTTCAAATACATTTCCAATCTGTTGCTCTACCTCTTCCCCTTCTGGTACCCCTATAATTCGGATGTTGGAATGTTTAAAGATGTCCTGGAGGTTCCTAAGCTTCACCTTGTTTTTTTTTTAATTATTTCTCCATTCTTTCCTGTTTGGTTGGTTCTTTCTTCCTTCTGGTCCACTCTGTTGTTTTGAGTCCCAGTTTCCTTCTCATCACTATTGGTTCCCTGTGCATTTTCCTTCATTTCTTTTATGGTAACCTGCATTTTTTCCTCTAATTAGTGCCCCAAATCAACCAATTCTGTGAACTTCCTGATCACCAGTGTTTTGAACTATGTATCTGATAGATTGGCAATCTCTCGGTCACTTAAAAGGATGAATCCTGGGGCACTGATTTGCTCTGTTTGAGCCATCTCTCTCTCTCTCTCTTTTTGGTGTGGTTGCTCCTGTTATGGTGAGGGGCAGAGCCTTAGGTGTTTACCAGGGCTGGGAACCCCAGTCGCTAGATTGTGACGTTGTATGTGGGGGCGGGAGGGAACAATGGCAGTAGCTTCATTCTCCATGGGACCTCAGTCCCTTCGCTGTGATCCTGGGTTGCGTGCTCTGCCCTGCTCCACAATTTCCGCCTCAGTGGGTCTGCCAGCTGCCGCTTGCGTACTCAGGGTCCACCCGCTGCGATCTTGAGCGCCCCAGATGCCTTATGCACCCCTGGTTGCCTTATGCGCCCAACTCTCTCTGCTCTCCGTGCAGCGACCCTCGCCTGGCTGCTTGTCTCCACCCTTCCTACCGGTCTGGATGAACAGGCCCCACTTCAACTTCTTGGCTGTCCGACTTCCATTCAGATAAATTCTCTATCAGTTCTGGGTGTTTTTCTGCCTCTAAATTGTTGTTGTTCCAATCTTGGTTGTGCGTGGAGGTGCGGTGCGTCCACCTATGCCTCCATCTTGGCTGGAAGTCAACTCCTGCAGATTTCTACATCCAGAGGTTTTGAGTCTAGTTTCCCACACTGAAACCCTGGGTTCTGTGGACTGTCTTGGTTCCCAGTGGTTCTTCCCAGCTCACTGGCCCACGAATGTGGGACCAACTAGTCCACCAGCCACCTCCTTGGCTATGTGTCCTCTCCACCTTGGCTACTCATCTCTGCCCCTCCTACCATTCTGGATATATGTTTCTTTAACTCCTTGGTTGTCAGACTTCCATGAAATTTGAATACCTGGCAGTTCTGGTTGTTTTTTGTTTTTAAATTTGTTGTTGTCCTTCTTTTGGTGGTGCAAAGAAGTGAAGCATTTATACCTCTCTCTCCATCGAGGCTGGAACTCCTGGGCTAAACTCCTGCCAAACCCTTGGCATATCAGTACATGAGCAGAACCACCTGATCTTGGATTTTTTAATACCTGCAACTGAAGTTTACTTCTCATGTCCAGAAAACACATATTCTCTTGAAGAGAAGTTTTTAATAGTATCAAGTATTAAATGTAATCTGCCACATTAAATCATACAAAAATAAAAATAAATTAATATAAATACAAGCATTCCCAGAAGAACTTATTCATCTTCTACATTTGAACAGGATGCCTAACCTTTTCACCCAAACCACTCAGATAAACACTGGCATAAGGAAAACATGAATTCCTTAAATTTCCTAATCAGAATTCTTATTAATTCCAAATTTTCTTCTATAACATATATAATAATGACTTTTTAAATGAGGTGCTTAAGACTAATAATATTTTAAAACAAAAACAAAAACCTCTTCTCGCTTATGTGTTTCTTTCATAGGTAGTAGTTCCTTTTTATTGAGATTTACAATAATTCATCAGTAGGCTCACTGACAGGATAAGAGATCTGAAAGTTATTTTTAGCTTTTAGAATAAAAAGTTGATTCCACTACTTATCTGAACCTTATCCTGTCAGAACCATCCAATATAGCTCTCCAAAATCAGTCATACTGCAGTCAGCTTCAATTAAAAATGTTTCTTCCACTGGTCCACTAAGTTCAAAGAAGACCTGGCAGATGACAATAAGAATTCTAATATATGTGTAAGAAAAAAAGTTCAGGCAAAGATTTAAAAACTGAATAATGGTGGCATGTAGGAAAGAATGCATAAGCAAAGACAACATTAAATATTATAGCAGAGCACAAAACTAGAAGTGTTCATTTATTTTTTACTTTTCTCTAAAAACAAATAATAAAAATACAGACTTTGGATTAATGAATTTAAAAATCTTGCCAAAGTATATGTGTTAATACAGAGTGAGCCCAAGGCTAGCTGCCAGCATCCCTAGGAGTCTGTTACTATACATCAGCAGGTAGAAGCTTATTGTGACCTCATGGGTTTAACTATTAACAAACAAAAGCACTGAGAAATCTCCTTACCCAAATATTTGTCAGTAGAACTTCTAATTTCAATTATACTGACCAGTGCTTTTACATTTACTTTTTCAACACAAAACCTAAAAGCTATACAAATTTCCTGAATCAAATCACAATGATTCTAAATCCAAAATCAAGAACCAAGAAAGCATTAAAAAATCCTTAACTTTTGGTCATTGGGGGTAGAACAAAACTGTAGAAGAAACAGAGGGCCTTCTTTTAACCTACTATCCTAATCAATAGTCCACAGAACCCAATAACAACATCTGTAGTAGGGTAATAGCCCCCTGCCCCCGCAAAGACATGTATGTCCTAATCCATGGACCTTGTGAATAAATGTGCTCCCAATGTAGTAAAAGGGACTTCTGCAGACATATTAGGTTAAGGATCTTGAGATGGGGAGAAAGCCCTGGATTATTGAGGAGGGCCGAATGTAATCATGAGAGACCTCGCAAGAAAAAAGTAGAAAGATATTAGCTGTGGGAGATGTGACACTGGAAGCAAGAGGTGGAGTGATGTGAGAAAGAGCTAAAGCCAAGGAATGCATAAGCAGGTAAGAGCTGAAAAAGCAGAAAGATGGATTCTCCAGAACCTTCAGAATGAACAAGTTCACTAGTACCTTTATTTTAGCCTCATAAGACTCATTTCAGATTTCTGACCTCCAGAACTGTAAGATAATAAATTTGTGTTGTTTCAAGCCATTAAGTTTGTGGTAATTTGTTATAGCAACAGTAGGAAATTACAACAAATAATTACAAAAAACAGTTTGAGATTGCCAGCCTGTTCACGCTCCCCACTTCTTTGGGAACTGCTAACATTTACAGAGTTGTGGGGAATACAAAACAGACAGAAAAGCAAAGAAAACATGTGATTTTATGGAAGATAAGAAAGAATCAATTCCTACACTATATACTGAGCAAGTGCAGGGCTCAAAGAGCTTAGAACTATATAAGTTTTAAATAAGAGTGCACCTGTCAGCCTGACTTAGATAAATAAAAAGTGAAGATAATGTTCCAAGGGTGTAAAAGTAGAGCCTGGAAAGGGAACAGACTTTTCTACACAAAAGAAACTGACAGAAGGATCACCAGCCTGCAAAGGTACATGTAGGTACTTTGATCTGTAATATAGTATAAACTGAACTCTCACTTCTTACCCTATTAAACAGGAAAATCTTCAGAACTGCTTTTCAGTTGGCTTTTTAAGGTAATTATATTCTAGCTATATACTTCAGTACTCTATATGAGACTCCATTATTATCTGGGAGATGGGAGACATGCAATGCAGTACTAAAATCCATCAGAAAACAAAAATGGTCTCTTTTCTTTAAATGACACCTTTTTATTTTGATTCTTCTTTATTTTTATTCTTTACACTATTACAGATATCCCATTTCCCCTCTCTAAAAATGGTTAATTTTCATATTTATAGTTTCTATATTGTCTGCAGTCACTTTCTAAATTATCATAAAACTGAAGTTTTTAGAATAAGCATGCTCTCCATTAGCAGTGAAATAATCAACCTTCTCAAGTGAAACTGAGAGGGTATACAATTTTGGCAGGTTTTTTTTTTACTACTTTTTCTATATTTTATTGCTTACCAGTTAAAAGGGACCTGTCAACCAAAATCAGAATTTTAAATATCACCCCTTTCCTTCTTTCCTCCCAGCCAATATGTATTTTGAAAATTTATCAGTTTTCAAGCAACACACACAAAAGCCCTTTATTCTGACAATACTTTTTTTCTGAGTAGATGGATATAAACAATCCCTTGCCTTAAGAACCTTGAAGGAAATGCTCCTTCATTCTTATTTCACACCTTCAACACGCCTCTCACCTGCTATTTTGATATTCAGATTGGCATCCAGAAGCAAATTTTCAGCTTTCAGGTCACGATGAACAATGTTCCGACAGTGACAAAAAAAGACAGCTGCGACAATCTGTTTGAACTTCCGACGGGCCTCCTTTTCTGCCATTCTACCATGAGCCACCAGGTGGTCTGTGATGAGCAAGAACACAGTCAGTTCTCATTTTGGACATTAGTACTAAATTTCAAATAATAGATGTAAGGAGGGATGCAAGGGGGCCCACCAAATGAATGAGTTAAAACAAGTGAAATAAAAAAATAGAAAACAACACAGTTACAGTCTTGGTTTGTATCTATAAAAAGTCACTAACAATCAATGCCCAATTGATCTCTATTTTAAGTAGAAATCCTGTTACACGTACAGGTGCATAGCAGTACACTTGCCCTACCACAATTAAAAAAAAAAGAGTTCTGAGGGATATAGTGGTGTTTTTCAAAGATTATAACACTTAACGCCTTCCTTTTCATGTTTCCACTGCAAAAGTTTATATACACACAGCAAATACACACTTGAAGTATCAGCAATATTTCCTGTGCTAAAAAAGGTGAGTCAAAAGCGGAGTCACAATAAACTTAAGGCTAATATCTCTTCATCTTTCTCAAAATTTTACAATTTGACATAAAAACTTATTTACTTGGTGACTATTCTTTGTAATGCATAATAATATGCCTACATCTTTACATCTGCATTTACTGTGCTTACCAAATATTTTTATAACTATATTATTAATTTTTACAGATAACATCAATAGAAAACCAAGAGCATTTTCTACTACTTTAAATGGAACAATTTCATTGGCTATGTTGCTAAGGTATATAGGAAAAGAATTTATGTTATAAACTTTGTAATACCATTAATCAAGCTACCTTCTATATTTAAAAATGACATGACTGACCCATAATCAGTACCGTAAGTTCTTCATGTACTTCCATAAGTACTTTATGTACTTTTTTACTAACAGTGGTAGTAGGTTTATACTGAAGCAATGACATACATATCCTTAACCCAGTTCTTCACATAACCAACAACTTATATACAGGTCACAACAGCTAATGGGGTAAGAAAATGATGCAATTTTCTCTGTTTGAAATTTCTAATAGTTTCATCAGCACTATCCTTAAACCAGCTGCTCTAGCTGGGAAAAAGACACATTTGCCATCATAAGCATCCTGAGATAATGGAAAAGTAGAAAATTAGAACACTATAAATAAGTATATTATTGTTTAACAATAGTTGTTTTAGTAATACTACCCAATTGCCTTGGTGTCATCTCAATCATCTATAGGACCAGTCAGGTATATCTTTTCTTCACCACAAAGAGGAAGTCTAGGATAAAACATATGTACTAGTAATAATGACTGCTAAGACTAAGAGCTTAGGACAAAAATAGAAAGGAAGCATAAAGAAGGAGAACTAAATGACAATCCATCTTCATAGCAGATTTTCAAATAATTTAAACTAAATTATTCTGACCACAAAGAACATAAAATTTTGGAGACCAAAAATATAGTAATTTTAATAACAGTGTCTTAGAGTAAATCATTTAAATTATTAAGAAAAAAACCCTCAAAGGAATTGTTATAATTGTTAGGGTTATCAATGACCCACACACAAGACCTTTGAAACATTTCCCTCAAAAACATTACGCCCAAGATTACCAATTTAGTAATGAAAAAAGAATATAAGAAGTCTTCAGTTTAGAAATTAAGAGGATGAGAATATAGCTTTTTATGGGAGTTTAGAGGTGGTGATAAATGAGCTCATACTCTGGTGTGTTTGGGCTTCTGGAGAGAACTGTCATATGAATTTTAAACAACACAAAGTCCTAACTAGGGACAGTAACTTAATATAAGCTATTAACTGGACACCTGTAAGGTGTACAATACTATGTTTTATTTTAAAAGGCCATACGCCAATAGTTCCTGCTCCTTTGACCTCTCTATTTCTCTTAACCCAAGGCCTTAATTATTCTAATAATACGTTTTAGCTGAACTTTGCCTAATTAAAGAGCTTTGAAGAGACAGCTATTCTTGAGAAATATAAAAATAAACCCTTATGAAGGCTTACCATCAGAAGTTTATTTGGCCAAGCCAACCACTAATTAAAATGTCCAAGAGACATTTGTCTGGCAGTAAATACTAATTACCAGAACACATGAAAGAGCATCTTAAATATAACATAATGATTAATTTAGTAATTTGCAAAATAAGCAATTTTCATTTATTTAAAACAACTTTATATTTTCTAAGTACTTTATTTTCTTAAAATGACTGGAAAGTTCTAATAATTATACACAGGCTAGGAGCTGGTGGAATGTAGCCCAATTCTGTTTTATCTCTCCAATGACACATTAGTTGTCCTTGGACAAAGCATTTATAAAGCCAATATAATATCCACACCTCCTGATCTGCCAAGTAGGAAAAAATTTGTTACGTGTTACGATAAAGAAAACATAGTGTATCTGGGCATAAACTTTAATTGTGATTAAGAGTTGTGACGTATAACTTGAAAGACTTAAAAAGCTGTTTTTTTCCAATGTCTATACAATATTATACAGAGAATAGTTAAGAATTTGGTTAATACATCATAAGGTTTTTTAGGATTCTGTAGCACTTGAAAAGTGTATAAATCACTTGTCACTGTTACATGGTTCTGGTTAAAAGGTATTTATGATAGCACAGTGGGTAAAACAGCTTCAAGTATATAGCATTTTTTTTTCTAAAGGTACCTACAGAATCCTTACAGTTATAAAAGTAAAAATATATACAAATCACTTTTTAAAAAGCGTTGGCTGCAAACATCAGATGTTTTCTCCTAGCCATTGTATTTGATGTTTGTTCAAGTTTTCTCTTCTTTGGGAGCACTGTGCTCCTTTCCAAATACAAGACCATCTTAATGGCTCAATGCCATTCAAATTTTAGCCTCTGCTTTTATTATTTCCCATCTTATTACATCCCCTATCCTGTTAGTTTGCTTTCAGTATAAACCTACAGAGTCTTGTGGGTATGCCAGGAGGCCTGGAGCCATTTTCAGTCCCTCCTGAAATTGCCTTCCAGGGGCCCACAGACAAATAGCTGTTTCATGTTATGTGTATGCGATAGGCAGTAAGCAAAAATTCTTCAAGCTCAAATGCGATTTTACTTCAGCAAAGAAACCCAGCACAGTAGCCCAGATTGGACTTAACACCAAGTCACAGCATTTGAATAAATACTGGGGTATCAGAAAGGCAAATGAAACAAAGTGGCTCCTGAACTACTCAATATTTAAAGTAAAATATATTCTGAATCTTGTCAGAATAAACTCCAGCTGCAAAGAACTCTAAACAGTTGTTCTGCTTCTTACAAGCAGTTCAGTGAGCCAGCTCTCCTAAAGACTAGGCGAGATGTTACCCACATCTTCAGTCCCAAACAACCCACACTGTACCCAGGATCCTAGCTTCCTTTATGCCCACATTCTCCCCTACCTCAGTCTAGACAACCTTCAATTACCTACACTGCATAAACTCCCTCATGGTTAAGCTCTTTTTCACGATCAATTAACTATTTATCTATTTAGTTGCCACTGTATGTTTCAGGCAAATTTTAAGTTTTCTCTATCACAACTTCACTACAACCAATTCACCCTAGACAAGGATGAGGTAACTCAGTTAAAAGGAGAAAATGGTTCTGTTGTTTCAAGCTCTTATCGAAAGTAAGGAGTCTTAAGTTCTCTTTATACTTTCCAATTACAATAAACTACTTGGCACTAGATTTACTTAATCTTTTTTTTAATCTGCTCTTTCTCACAAAATAAAAAGGAGTTAGTGACACTAAGGGATTTCTGTATTTCATGAGGCATATTATTAGAAGTAGAGAAAATGAATTCTGAAGTTTCAAAAGTATTGGAACACCAGCATGTATAAAGTTTGCTTCAGAATTCGCTCTTTGTAATTCAGTTCCAATTTGACTCAGGAAGAAAGAGCTTGTGATACATTTAGATTCTAACCTTTCAAAGAGTAAAAATATACCTCAGGCAGTCTTAACTTTCCAGCCCAGCTTCATTGGAGTGTCACAAGCATGCCACTAATAAGATAGTGGTGGGGTGCCAACATTTCTCTAAGTCAGTGTTCCACTATAAACAGGCAATATCTCCATTTGTCTGCAAGATCTACAATTCCTAACTGATCCAAAATACTAACTTAAAATGAAAATACCATGACAGGAGGTCAAGCAACAGGGCAGAAACTTCATTTTTCAGCGTGAAGAAATAACCTAGTCTAGAATAGGGAAAGGAGGCATATGTGCTAAGCTCAAGTAGCTACCGGAAGAAATTTCTGCCAATTCTAGATAATCATAGCGAGTGGTTCTTTGCTTTGCCACTCTGTTCTGTAGTTTCTTCTTTCTACACCCATGGAGATAATTCTTGTTTATCAAACAAATTCTTCTTTCCAAAAGAACCAGAACAAGGTCAAGATAATTAAGCTGCCCCGGAACAGGTTAAAAAGAGTGTACTTGAATATCATACTGTCCCTAAAGCTTGTAGGCCCCATAATGCCAGACTATAGCAAGAGGGTTATTTTGTTTCCCTTGCTAAGAATCCAACTACCTCATACCAAGCTTCTACTTGTTGCTGATTCTTGCTACCTACTACCTATTTTCTTCATTTTCCAGGTGTCCAGGCCAAAAATCTTGGTATCATCATTCTCTTTTTGACACATCACAAATCCAATCCCTTCAGCAAATTTTATTAACTCTGCTTTCAAAGCAGATCCAGATTTCAACTATTCCTTACCCCATCCCCACCCCACTATAGTACCCCCAAGTCTAGTCCAAGAGCCACTATCTTCCTCTTGGACCACTGTTAATAGCCTTCTAATATTGTCAGGATGGGCGGGGTAAGGCAAAATAGCGGCTGAACTACAACCCGGAGAAGATGGCTGAGGTCAAGCCAGGGAGCCGAAAGGGTGGCGGGCTTTGCCAAAATGGATATCCGCATAGCAACCTGAGCCTGAGGAGGACCACCAATGAGACATTGCAACTTTGTTCAAAGGGGACCAATCCCCAGCTCCCACGAAGAGAGCCAACCAAAATAAAACCCCTCCATATTCCCTGTTTGGGCGAGACTTCCTCAACCCCACCGTGAGGACTGGGGA